TCCTGCAGGTAAAAGTCCTGAGTCAGTGAGACATTATCTAGTTTTTATATGTTGAAGGCAAGTTTATTTTGTTTTGCTATTGTGCTGGAGAAAACCCTTCTTTTTCTGTTGGCTGCTGGCTGCATTATTTTGTTAGGCTTTTGTAAAATAAAGCCATATATTTAAATATTAGCAGAAAAAACAATACAGGGTGCACTCTACTTGTGCATTAACGCTAAAAAAAAAAAAAATGTATTAGGATGCAAAAACATACTCACAAGCCATAAAGGTCATAGAAACAGAGACAAGAAGTCAAAGGTGCCAATCGTGGACAGCATGCATCCTTGGATAAAGTGCAAATGCATTTCGGGAGTCGAACTCCCTTTCTCATCTATTGCTCTGATTAAGGGAGTTCGACTCCTGAAACGCGTTAGCACTTTATCCAAGGACACATGGGGGTTTATTTACTAAAGCTGGAGAGTCCAAAATCAGACTCCCTTCTGCATAGAAACCAATCAGCTTCTAACCTCAGCTTGTTCAATGAAGCTTTGGCAATGAAACCTGGAAGCTGATTGGTTTCTATGCAGAAGTGAGTCTGATTTTGGACTCTCCAGCTTTAGTAAATAAACCCCATGCTGTCCACGATTGACACCTTTGACTTCTTGTCTATGTTTTTATGACCTTTATGGCTTGTGAGTATGTTTTTGCATCTTTTTAATAAATTTTTGATTTTTGCATTAATGCACGAGGAGAGTGTTCCCTGTTTTGCTTTTTTTCTGCTAGTATCAAGATTCCCCAATCTATCAAGGGCGGCACCTCAGCAAATGCACTATTCCATTTTGAGTGCAGCGAGAGAGGTTTGAGTGCCGGTTTCTGGTTATTGTTGATATATTTAAATATATATACAGTATATATAAACTTTATTTTGGTATGCAAATTAATTATAGATTTAATGTTAAATTAACTAATGCATGTCGGAGCTGCAGACCTTGGCTTGGACATCAACGCATCTAAGACCACGCATCAGAAAAGGGTTAAAGCTGACATTGCAGTCCACAAAAACTAAAGCCAGCCAAATTTTGATCCAAGTATGGACAGGCTGTTTGCACACAAGTTGATCAACTATAGCTGGCAACACTAACCTCCCTTACAACACTTCCCCTCTCTACAACAGCAGATCATTGCAATAATGAGATTTTTTTTTTCGCTACAGTTGGGTGAGGGTGGTGGCTGGATCATGTCTCCTCTTATATGATCCAATCCTCACTTGAAAAATAAATACATATTTATTTCCAAAACAAATAAAAACAACCCTTAATATTAGGCCCATCCGGCACACCAAATTCTCTGAATTACATTTATGTTATTTATGAGTATCAAATGTTCATGCAGGAATGCAACATGTCATGTAAAGTTTTTGCAAATGCAGACTTGTGCTTGCAGCGCTATAGAACCAACTTCTGACTTTCCAAACTGACTCATTCTTTCTTAGTGCTACATTGACATTGTGCTAGCTAATCCTTTTCACTTTTTTGTCCCTCAATGTAAAAACAAAAGGAAAAATGTTCTCCTAAGTTGCAAACTAAGTTTTGAATACCACTCTATAATATCCTGGTAGTCAGGAGCCTTGGTTAGTAACATTTTATGGCACATATTTGGGGTAACGCAATTTAAGTAAACTCTATATCAGGGAAGATTAAAGGTAATGTATTAATTTCTAATGTTTGCATTTTGCCTATTTAAAAAATGAATTAAACAAAAATCTAGACAACCATATCTGACAGCTCTATCTGCCCCCTTTACAAAGATGTAAAATATGGTGGATACATTTGCTCCAAATATTTTTTGGAGCAAAATGAGTTAGGAGCCTTCACGGAAATTTTTGTTCCAAGAAAGCCATTCTTCTTTGATGCCATTGACACATTACAAATAATCCAGTCAGATTCATCTGTTGATTCTTCAAGAGCTGAATGTTTTCTGATGGTGACAAGAACGTACTTTTGAAGCACAAATTGACCATAGCATTCCTATGTAACATAACTATTGTTTCTCAAGTACATTTTTTCTGCTTTCTTTCCCCCATTTCATTTATTCTTAACTTAAATGCGTCCATTGGGTTTCCTCAACTCTACCCTCAGATATCATTGGTTGCCAAGAGTGATGTGCCCAAAATTGTTAGAACAGAACTAAATAGTCACTGAAATCACGCTAACCTGATTATAACTTCCAGTTATACATATTATAGCACAAGCGTATATATTATATTATATACAAGCGTAGAGTAAATATACTGTATTCAGAGACAGACTTTCATACAGTATGGTCCATTTCACAAATTATTTAAAAAATTGCAAATACTTTAGCATATAAGGTTTGTAAACATATAGAATGATAAGATATAATATACCAAAATTATGTGAATTAGCCCATGTAAGTAATCTGCTGTTTTTTTTTTTTCCTTTTTAGATGCTTAGGTAAATTTATACTTGGAGGCACTTTGATAAGAAAACTATCCCTCACTGCCATCCTTGTGCCTCAAAGTCTCCACTAATACAGGATCAGCTAATGGTGGTAACAAGCATTAACAGATAATCTGATAGAAAACAGGCTAAAGGAGAGCAGAACACTTTTTTGGCTTTGTTATATGACACTGATTCTTTATCCCCTGTGGCCTATGTAGCACCTATTAAACACTATAGTGAAAAGGAAAACATAGTATAATGTTTGCTGGCATGATCTACTTTACCAGCAAATAAATTCAAATACAACAAAGGACAATGACTGAAAAAAATGTCTGAGACGCACCTGTATCAGGATGTACTCAGTGAAATCTGGTCACCGCCCCACTCTTTGCTTCTGCGGTACAGTGGACCCTATAAGCAATGATCTTGCATTGTGCAGCTCCACTTGGCAGTTGTATCCCAATAAGATCCTTTAAAAGGCACAGCCTGATATAGACAGAGCTCAGATGAGTGCTTAAAAATTCTTCTACGCCTGTTCTTATTGACTCTGATGGCCATCAGAGCTTAACAGTAGCTATACTTGAGGTGTGATAAGGCATCAGACTCACTCACTAGTATTAGTAAGCTGGGGTTTTTTTGCTAATTGGGGATTTCTCATCTCTAATTTATTACCACATGATCATACAGTGTTATAGTAAAAAGGAGAATATTGAATTATTTTCTTCTAGATTTTAATTTTTTTTACATTGTATGTTTCAATTGTGGCCATCTGTACCAAAAAATATCCAAAATTAAACAGAATAAGCATATACATAATAACGTCATTATTCTGTTGATTTAACTATTGTGGTGCATAGTACCCATGTAGGCCATGGTTTGAAACACATAGTCAAAGTAGTGTAAGTTGGGTTAAGGCTAAAGAAGAAAGTTTCATTTTTAATACAGATGAAAAGGTTTCCTATAAAGAAATGCATGGCTTAAATCTAATTATAATAAAAAAAATAAATCAATAAATGGCTTGTGGAGTTGGATGGATATCTAAAAAAACAAGAAGTCTCACTTTAAAGGAAAGTGCTGTACAGCTAATATGGTAATTTCTCCTCTGGTTCTGTAAATTTAAAACATCCTGGCCCACTCATCAAATCCAGAGTTCTCCATAGACAATATAGGCTGTGATACTTCATATTGCTGACTGTGAAATAAAAAAATCAAAAGGCCTGCAATCCTCATTGTTGCTGTTTTTGCATGGTTTGTGTCTTTTTTTTGGTGGAATAGTGTACTGCACACTTACAGTTTACCCACTCTGGGTCTCTACACCAAGGACTGAACTGCTAGCAGGCTAGGGTTTCAGCATTGCCTACTCTTATTTTTGCCAGTTCTAGGTGTACTGATACAGAGTGGGCTAATATTTTCATTCATTCTCCGTTCCTATTCTGTGGTGTTACAATATTGGATTTGGTTAGTGAGATATTGAGCCTACTCAGCCTAGGTCATTATTCTGTTGATTTATCTATTGTGGTGCATAGTACCCATGTAGGCCATGGTTTGAAACACATAGTCAAAGTAGTGTAAGTTGGGTTAAGACTAAAGAAGAAAGTTTCATTTTAAATACAGATGAAAAGGTTTCCTATAAAGAAATGCATGGCTTAAATCTAATTAAAATAAAAAAAAATATCAGTAAATGGCTTGTGGAGTTGGATGGATATCTAAAAAAACAAGAAGTTTCACTTTAAAGGAAAGCGCTGTACAGCTAATATGTTGATTTGTCCTCTGGTTCTGTAAATTTAAAACATCCTGCCCCACTCATCAAATCCAGATTTCTCCATAGACAATATAGGCTGTGATACTTCATATTGCTGACTGTGAAATAAAAAAATCAAAAGGCCTGCAATCCTCATTGTTGCTGTTTTTGCATGGTTTGTGTCTTTTGTTTGGTGGAATAGTGTACTGCACACTTACAGTTTACCCACTCTGGGTCTCTACACCAAGGACTGAACTGCTAGCAGGCTAGGGTTTCAGCATTGCCTACTCTTATTTTTGCCAGTTCTAGGTGTACTGATACAGAGTGGGTAATATTTTCATTCATTCTCCGTTCCTATTCTGTGGTATTATAATATTGGATTTTTTTAGTGAGATATTGAGCCTACCCAGTTGAACGAGATGACGGGGGAGATGGCACAAGGCAATTAGCATAAGGTGCATGAATGTATAAATACAGGCCTGCCTCTTATTCTAATGTCATTGTGTTGGAGAAACATTATATTTGCAGGTGCTATAGGTATATGTTTGTAAGTTTGCTGGATGAGTTAACCCCCCCACACCTCCACCAACCCAACTAATTTAAATTGTGTTAGAGGAGCTTTAGCATTAGCATCTTGGAAAATAGAGAGACTCTTATATATTCTGCACAGGGTCCTAATTTGTTATCTGAAAAAAAAAAAAACATACAAGACATCCTCCTTTTAAAAGTCACAAATAATCACCTAAGGAAAAAGTCACTTTAAGGTTTAAGTTGATCTAACTTTTTTGAAACGTTATGCTTAATGTAGCTTTCAATACTTAAATCACTACAGTTTGCAAAAGTCTGAAACAAATAATAAGATCAAGTGGGATTGGTGGTTGAATTTCATTTCCATCCAGTCGCAAATAACGAAGACGGGGTCCGAGAGGAAAATGAGAGTCAAATTCTTCTCTTACTTCATTGGGACAGTTAATAGTTCCGTTAATATCTGCAAAATAGAAATGTGCACAAATAATTTGATACAAGTGATTAGATGTTTCATAAGATATCTAAGAAACTATGACATTTATGATGTTTAATGGTGAAACATGAAGTTTACCAGCATTGTACACTTTTTTGGCTTGCTGCACTGTAAGATTTGTTCAATGTAAGGAAACAAACTAAATAATTTGAATCATTTGAAAGCAAAAGAAAATGGAACACAAGTGCATTAGAGAAGAGGTGCGGATTTGCTGCTACCATGAGTTCACATCAAAACCTGTATATTTGCGGACCCAGCAAAATAATGTAAGTTTTGCCCATAGTAACGCCCTGACTGTCCTTTAAACTTAAAATGTTACTAAACCCATGACCCTGCATTCATTATATCAGGTCTCACACAGTACACAGAATATGGAAATGCAATTATTTTAGTAAATATAAACGGCTAAATACTTTTTCTCATCAGCAGTAAATTGCAGTCTTGTGACTTCTATCAGTGTCCAGCTGAGCACTGGTTAAAGCTTGTAGTAGTTTTCATTCTCCTCTGACTGTCCTCTGAAGCTGCATAAACCCTGTCCCTCTTTCTGGATAGCGCTTATTGGCCCTGTGCCGATCACATGCACCCTCCCAAAGAAAAAAAAAAGGTCAGGGAACTTTTTCTGCATTTCTAGCACATAGAGAAGCCCATTGAATTGAATGGGCTGCCCTACATGTGATGTACATCTTTCTCCACCCCATCCGTACACCTTTGCATCCTAAATTTCCCTCCTAACCTCTGCATCCCAAACCACCCCCATCTTCTTCACTCCAACTCCCCACCTTAACTCAACATTCCGCCTCTGCACATCTTTGCACCTTCCTTTCTTACTTCTGTACATCCCCTCTTTGTTGACCTGTGCACCCCAAACTGTAATTCCTTTTCTGCCTACCTCTGCATAGCCCCCCTTCACTTTGCTTACCTGTAGAACAAACTGATGGCAGGCTCAGTGACCACAGTTGCAGGCAGGACCTTCAACCATGCCCGTTTACCTTCTCAGTGGGCAGCATTCAGCAGAGGTGATGGTGGCTGGAACCTCAGGGGGGCATACTATACATATGACTGCTGCATTGCTGCCATTATTTACATATGAATGTCGCTTCTATTTGCATATGAATGGCACTATTTACATATGAATGCCGGTTATTTACATGTGAATGCTGATATGGCTTGCACATCTGCCCATGGCAATAGCATAAGTGACAGCACTTCACACTGAGATATGGGGACACAGCACAGGATCAAGACTTTAAGGGACAAGGTAATTTAAACAGATGGCAAGTATGGGCCAGCTGCTTTGGGCCCCACAACAATGACTGGGCCCAGGGCAGCTGCCATTTTTTTGCCCCTCCTTAAAGACGACCCTGATTGATGTCTGTATTTGATATGTTATTAGAAAAGATGAGAGCATGAGAGTCCAGGTAAGAGTTAAATATTTATTAGACTCAGCCACATATATGGAACCATATTGTTCATCAGTGAACTAAGAGACCATATTCCAACAAGCAAAGTGCACATATGTGATCAACTAGTCTTTACTTCATTGGTATAAAAAGGGTCACAAGAACATCCAAATATGAACTAGTTAAAGTGTTTGTAAAGGCTCTAGGTTTTTTACCTTCATGCATTCTATGCATAAAGGTAAAAAAAACTTCTGTTGTGTGCAGCAGCCCCCCCCCCCCCCCCCCCCCTAATGCTTACCTGAGCCCCATTGCAATCCAGAGATGCGCACAAGAGCCTCGGCTTTTCAGAGACTATCTCTCCTCATTGGCCATTGGCTCCTGCTGCTGTCAATCACAGCCAGGGAGCTAATAAGGAGAGAGAGTGGGTAGGGCCGAGCCGTGGCTCTGTGTGTGAATGGACACACAGATCAGTGGCTCAGGAGCGAACTTGCTTGTGTGCCCCCATAGCAAGCTTTTTGCTCTGGTGGCACTCGGCAGGAAGGATGGGCCAGGAACGCCAATAGGGGACCCAAGAAGAGGAGGATTGGAGTGGCTCTATGCAAAACCACTGCACAGAGCAAGTAAAGATACCATGTTTGTTATTTTTTGTGCAAAAAAAAAAAGCCAGGATTTGCAAACATACAGTGTATGGCTATTAAACCGACCAAAGTTTAGTTATCCACTCCTAACCTATATTCAATGTTCTTCTCTTCTATCCTTCCATACTCAATATATCCCTACACTGAGGTGCAAAAAGTTTTCAAAGCAATGGCAATAATTATATTGAGGTAGTACTGTATATTGGCAAATCGACTGTTAAAAATATGCAAACTGTGTATTTATTGATTCAAGTCTACTTTACTTCGGCAAAGGGTAATCTAAGTTTTAGGGTTAGAGTCTCTTTTTATTGCTGTCTGTGCCCCAGCTGAGAGACTGACCCACCGTTTTAATTTTGGACAAAAAGTGATGGGAAATCCCCCTCCCTCAAACAAATTGGATTGTTGTGGGAACAGGAAGGGAAAAACTTCCAATGGAGAAACCAAGAATATCTCCTCTTACTTCCTGCTGTGTATTTTGGACAGGAAGTGAAGGGAAATCTCCCAGAAGGGTCACAACAAATTCCTGATGGGATATCAACCAGTCCCTATTCTAGGCAAAACGAAAAAAAAAATTAATTCTTAAGACACTTGAATTGTCTGCTTTTCACCCCCCACCATTTACCTCATCTTGTCCATGGATGAAGAATTAAAGATGAACACTTTGAAAATTAAAGTAGACATGGGTTTAAATCCATACAAAACTTACATATTTTTAAACAAAATATGTTGTGCTATGGTGTTCAACCCCTATATTCAAAATTGAATATTTTTACTGTAATCTGGGATACTCTTCCTTGGAGATCGGCAAAAATCTAACTGCCTTTGCCTGGAAATGACCTTGAATCTATGGTCACTCAAAGTGAATTCTAATAATCTTAAAATTCAGATCAGAGAGTGTGCTGTTCTGTCTTTTGACTTTTTTTTGCATCATATAATTATCACTTGCTACAGTTTGCTGACCTACCTCAGAGACTTAATTTGTTTTATTTTACCTCTGTTATCATAGCATATTAATATGTAACATAACATCTATTATACTGGAGGAAAGGCAAAAGAAAAGACTAAATTAAAACATATTTTCTGCTAATAACTATTCGGAATTTGTATCTGTCAGCATCTATTTTGTCATCTAGGCAGTTTAATGAAAGGGTCTGGAAGATTAAACAACTTTGCGTGTCTTTTTCTCATAAAGTGCTGGCAAGGCTGTTCCTAGCCATTCTTTTGCCTGTGGTAAACCTTGAACCCTCAACTTGAGCTTTCTGCTATAACTATAAAAGCATATGTGCAATGTGCCATTATAATGTGGGGAAAGAGAGTTTGATTGATGAATGTAATACCTATTTCTTAGTGTCAAATGGCAAGAAAGTTGCAAATTTTAATTTTTCACAAGTAAACCTGCAATTGGCAAAGGATTATTGGTAGTTCTTTGCTAGCAATTGCTGCCATTTTTCAAGAAAGTGTTGCTATGATACCAAAAATATTTTCCACATTACCAGAGTATATTACTTCTTACTAGAAGGATACCATTCTAGCACACGTTTGCTACTGTTGTGTTTTACCAGAGACTGCTATGAAAATTGTCCATTACCATGTAGACTCATATAAAAGTTGCATTGTATGACAGACCTCTGCCTGCTCTTTTGATTACTTTATTGTTATAACCCTCCTCCTTGAAGATGCTGGAATTGTTGAGCAAGAATTGCAACAAAAAATGTGAAGTCTTTGAGAGCATCAGTGAGGGTTTACAAAACAGATCACCTCTGCTACAGGTGATGCCTTTTCAGAAGGACACTGTAAATAGAAAATTGTATCCTATGGAGGACAGGTGGCTAGACAGTTGACAGTGAGTAACAATAAGGGATGAGCTTCCAACACTCAAGCTGTTGAACAAACTGACCATATTTGGCCAGGTTGCCCATACAAACCTGTCATTTAGCAGTGGTAGCTTTACTGCTGCTACATGACAGATACATGGCCAATTTCCAGCTGCAGATCCTGAGAGATGTCAGTGACCAAATATGGCAAACATATCAGGTGGCAGATCTTTGTGGCTGTGGGCAACATTGCAGGTGGAGGGCCATTATAATGGCAGATCATCATAATAAATGCTAGATCTACATCGGTCAATGAAATTATTCACAATAGATTTACACTAGGGGGGATTGTTTACACATTATTTGAATGAAGCAATTGGTAAAGGACTTTTTCACTCTAGGTTTGTGAACCCTCTGCTCATTCCCCTTGGCGGGCAGATATCTGGTAGCTCCCTTATTATAAATATGACTTCAAGATTCTGATAAGCCCCCACTCCACTTTTGGGGGAAAGGATGTGGTGATGAGCTCTTTGTCCACTCAACATGAAGATACAGTGTCTGAAGGGGGGGCGGACTTTGCAAGGTACTTTCCCAATGTTGAATGCCATGTGGTCAATGACATCATTCAGGATCCTTTGCCAATTTATTTACGAACACCATCACCACTGAACATAGATCTGTCATTTAAAGGCAGTATTTCTAATGCTGCATAATTCCAGATCCCCGTCCAGCTGCTGTTTTTAAACAAACTGGCTGGGAATATCTCATTTAACCACTTGCCCTCCTGAGGATTTACCCCCTTCCTGACCAGACCATTTTTTGCGTTACGGCGCTGTGTTACTTTAACTGACAATTGCGCAGTCATACAACACTGCACCCAAATGACATTTACATCCTTTTTCCCCCATGAATTAAGCTTTCTTTCAGTGGTATTTGATAGCCTGTGCAGTTTTTATTTTTTGCATTATAAGCCAAAAAATTACCGACAATTTTGAGAAAAAAAACAACATTTTGGACTTTTTGCTATTAAACATGTCCAGTAAAGAAATTTTAAAAATCAAATTTCAGCATAAATGTATGCCAAAATGTATTCTGCTACATGTCTTTGCTAAAAA